TTGATATTTTTTAAAGTGAGAGGGTGAAAAGAAAAAGGGCAACAGATCAGCAACAGACTCGGAGGTGCTCATTTTCACAGGGAGAACGCTGGGGCTAACACGCCTGTGAGCTGGGCGGTGTGGGTCATGGGCCCGGGGAAAGGCAGCCCTCAAGGGCTGGACTGCACAGCTCACCTGGGACTCAGGCAAGACGAGCTCAGGTGCCACTGTCCAGTCTTTGGTGTTTGTCTTCTCAGAAAGGGCTAAGATCTGGTGAACAGGCACAGCTGTGGGTGGAAAAGAGCCAGGGGAAATCTCTCTTGCTTCTGTCTATAAACATCCTCAGCTCATTTCTAAAATACAGATGATCCCGATTCTTTCAGCAGAGACAGGACACCCTTGCAAGTATATGTGGTGCCCTGGAGTGGTCTCATCATCATATACAAGAGCTAAGTATCTACCGGCCACTAGAATAGGTTCCTCAGCCTTCGAGAATGAATAAATGTAAGAAAAACCTTTTTTCCCCTCTCACGGTGTAAATTGTTCTCACTTAGGCAAAGTTAAACATATTTGAAAATGAAGTACTCAAGATAACCCGGTGTACAATAGATCTATTTTTTTTTTTTTTTAGCATTTATTTGTCTCCTGGTACAAAAGTGTGTTCGTATTCTACCATCGCTTTCTAAAGAACAGAGTATTTGGTGTTATTACCAGGGTTCTGTAGTCTGGATGTTTCTGTATCCTGGGCCAACCCCCAAATTCACCCACAGCTGGTGCTCTACTGCCATCTAGGGGACATCGTAATTGCTACGTGGCTGAATCCGCCCATCCACATAGCTGGGCACCCAGAAAATGCCCACAATGTTCTGGTTCAATAAACTCTTATCATAGATCCCAATAAGGGAATTATCATGATGTGCCTTACCCCTCTCACATACAGGCTCAGATTCTTTATGAGTATTCCCGCTCAGATGTTCTTGCAAACCTTGGTATGTATTCCAGAATTCTTCATCCTGGGCCAGGCCCACTGGCTGGGACTCTGCTGTTTCTCTCAAGAGCACTGCCTCCTTTCCCAGCTCTTGTATGGCAACCTAGAAATAATTCCCACCTCTGTTACCACAAAAGTTATTTTTGGTTTTGGGGTTGATTGTAGAAGGAGGAAAAAGTGAACAGTCCAGATGGTAGAAGATATACAACACTAAAGGAAATGACAAAAAGGCTTAAAGAAATAACGGGCGACCAATGTTTCAAAAAGAATTCTCCACAAAATGTGGCAATATTGGGATAAAAGGAAAAGAAATGTGGCTCACGCTAGCCCTCCACCACAGCAGGCCCCACCCCTCTAAACACAGTGCAACTCAGACTACATAGGTCACCTGTTATCATGCTACTTTGACAGACCTTCTCTCTTGACTTTGATCCCTGCTTAATGTTTTTTCTGTCTTCTCATTCTCTCAAAAGATTAAAGAACAAAGAAAACTGTCTCATCAACCAGATTATCCCCATGGCCAGGAAAGGCTTTCAGAGAATGGGGGACGAAATGGGAAAAGAGAGGGGAAGAGAGTTTGGCTCCAACCTACCTCCAGATGATTTCTGGCACCACACATATGCCTGCCTGTGTCTTCTTCCCAGTTGGCCTGACGCCAGCTGGTGTTCTGCCACGTGGCTAAGAACACACCCTGGATTCCCACGAACCAGCAGAGCCAAAGACCAACTGCGGAGGGCGCCGTGGAGGCTCTCTCATTTGAATCAGAGGGCAATATCCCTCAATGTCTCTCTCCTCTCAGCTATTCTGCTAGGATTGCCAAATCTGTTTCCCTTTTTTCTGCCTCCTTTTCTCTCCCTTTGCACTCTTCCTTCGATGTTTGGGTTTTCCTTCTCTTTACTATCTCCACTCAACTTTTCGTTTCTAAGTGTTCTCCCTTTTTCAGGTCCTCCCCTTCCTCTCCAACTCCTTATTTCCTTTTATTCATTTGTAACTCAAAACCCATGTCCTTGGGCAAGCCATACTAGGCTTATGACTCTCCATTCCCCCTGGCTCTATAGATCACAAATGCAGTTGTTCTGGAAGGCCAGGAAAGTATCTGTGAAACCTGAGACTACTGCTGTGCGTCTGTGGTTTCAGGCTTTGCCTCAGTTATTCTAAAGGAACAATGGAACAGTGACCTAATTCACCTTATTTCTCAATGAAGTGCCCCCACCCAAATCCACTTTCACCCTATTTCATCACGGGAATCAGGAATCTTTCTTCTCACCCTATTCCTCGTTTGACCAGATTCCCTCTCCAAGTGTTCTACCAGGGTCACGGCCTCCTCAATGCTTTGTAGATGGTCCTTCCTTATCCGACTCTGGGTGTCCGTGGGCAGAATGGTCACAAACTGTTCTAGCACAAGCAGTTCCAGGATCTGCTCTTTTGAGTGGATCTCAGGCCTCAGCCACTGACGGCAAAATTCCTGAAGCTGGCCAACCACTTCACGAGGTCCGGGGGCGTCATGATAGTGGAAGTTCCGGAAGTGCTCGCGCCAGCTTTCTGGACTGAGCCTGTCTGTTTGTGGGGTGTACTTCTTAATGTGACTGGAACTCTCTATCTCAGGTCCCTTGCATTCCCACAGAGCCCTGATCTGAGGGCTCAAACAGTCAGCCACCTTCAGATCTACCATCATTACTCTGCTGTAGGAACAGTTTTACTCCTGTGTTGGACACCCCGCCGGCACCACCTTTGGCAAACGAGGCCCAGTCAGCTCTGGAGCAAAATCAATAAAACGATCCTCGTCCTAGAGTAGTGAACAGAAAAAAGGTGCACATCAGTGAGAGTGTCACAAGAACTTTGTTATCTCCTATTCATAACAACAGACAAATGAAAAGAAAAATCCTGCCTTGCTTTCCCTTTAAAAAATCCACTGCCAAGGGCACCTGGGTGGCTCAGTCAGTTAAGCCTCCAACTTCAGCTCAGGTCATCATCTCAAAGTTCTTGGGTCAGGCCCCCCCGTAGGGCTCTGTGCTGACAGCTCAGAGCCTGGAGCTTGCTTTGGATTCTGTGTCTCCAGCTCTCACTCTGCATGTGTTTCTCTCTCTCAAAAATAAATAAATGTTTAAAAAATTTAAAAATCCACCGCCAGACCCTTTGTCTCCTATTATTCAGGTGAAATAAGGCACAGCTCGTTGAGAGACAAACGTCCACTGAGGGCTTGGCCCTCCTAAAAATGGTC